TGGCTAGCTTAGATTAGTAGAGATATACACTACGGGCAAGCTTATGGTACGACCACGGGATGCACATGAATTCTTTGTGAGAGTGAGCGAATTTTGTTCAATTGTGTGATGTCCTTAATTTATATTCAAAAGCATACTTGAATGTGTGGACTATTCTATGTTCACTCTTTTGTTTGTTGGTGAGAGCACATGATCTCATGAAGGATTGGTAATGTTGTGAACGTCTCTTGTTGGGTGAATGTCTGAGTTGAGGGTGCTTAGGGGTAACAAGTCGACTTTTGAGGTAGAGTGGTTACAGATATGTTGTTTGAATTGATTGAATTGAAATTGATATATTTGGGCATGTTTAAAACGGAAAGAATGTGAATTTTGTATGTTCATGCTTGATTGCCGGTATCGATCATAGTCAAGGGTAGAGTGTATGGTTAAAAAATATTGAAGTCCTCCATAGTTGAGATTTGTACGTAGTTGGGGTATAGTTGATAGTCCCATTGCTCGAGGATAAGCAAAAGTCTAAGTGTAGGGTGTTGGCATTTAGCTTAAAGTATATATATTTATATGTATATCGCCTCATATTTTACTCGTGTTTCTTGGATTTCGGATGTAAAATGTATTGATTTATATTATTTCATGGTGTTTTTATGTGTAGGAATTATCCGGAAGCAATGGAACGAAAGGTGCGAGATTAGAGCCAAAACGGAGGGAAAATGGGAAATGTGGAATTCCAGCGCCACATGCAGCGCCCCACGGCACATGTGACGCTGTGGACAGAATGTTTAAATTGCAAGTGTCAGCGCCCCATGCTCCCCAGGACGCTGGTGACGAGAATTTCTCTCACTTTGTCCGGGATAAGGTTATTTCGGCCCTAGACCTACCCAAAGCCTATAAAAGCAAGACTAAGCCTATTTTTGGACAGGAGATGCCACTTTGAAGGAAACATACACACGAGAAACATTCGGGAGCGAGGATATTTCAGTTTTTCTTTATATTTTCTTAATATTTTTAATTATCCAACACTTGTGAAATTGTTTGATACTATCATGAGTGGCTAAAACCCATAGTTCTGGGGTTGTGATTTAGCCATGAATATTATTGTTCAACATTGACTTAATCTTAATTACAATTCACCAATATATGGTTGTTTCTTCAATTCTGTGATTAATTGCTTAATTGGCTAGCCAACAGTTAGGTTATATTTACTATCTATGTTATGCTTGGGAAAATCATGTTTAGATTGGAGAAGAATTGAAAAGAGCACGATCTTAACTCTGGAAGGGGGGGNGGAATATAGGCGTTGATTTACTTTGAATAGGCGAGTAGTACTTCGGAAGAAGGCTACGAGAGCAAGTGTTCGATTAATTAGCAACAATGAGTGAATTGTATGAAAAGGGAGAGTTAACTAGAACATAATAGGATTGGTGAATCGATCACAACCATGAAATATTTGTCTCTACTGAATACACAACAACCATTTTGCTGCTTGATAATTTAGTTACTAGTTAGAATTATTGTTTAGTATGATCACACTTTTGAACTCGGATTGGCTCGACTGAATAACAATCTTGGTGAATTTAGTGGGTAGTTAATACAAGTCTCTGTGGGTTCGACACTCGACTTATCATCTTATTACTTGTATGACCACGTATACTTGCGTGTGCGTTTTGGAGCAACAAATATATACTTTTATAAATCACTATATAAAAGAAGAGAACTATTTGTAGTAGAGAGAATATCCAGAGAGAAATATGAGAAAGAGGATAAAAATATAATACTAGAATAACAAAGAGAAGAAATGTATGGTAAAATGAGAGAAGGAAAATAGAAATGTTAAAATTAATGAGGGATACTTTGGAAAATGTAAATTCAACGTAAGGATATTTTTGTCTTGAAAATTAATTTTCGCTTCTGCTTCTGCTTCTGCTTCTTGAAAAAAAATTAGAATTTGTAGCTTCCCCTAAAAGCAGAAAAACTGCTTCTGTTGTTGCTCAAAAGCACAAACAACGTAAATTTTTGATAAAATATTTTATAACCAAAAAAATTACCTTTTTCTTTCTAGAAGCTCGGTCAATCAGGCTTTAAGACAAAAAAGTTCAATTGAATCCCCTTTCTCAAAAAATTATAAGCGTAAAAATAGGGCAAAATAGAGAAGTAGAAAATTTACTCTAACGAAACAATCATGGAAGTGCATCCTTAAAAGAGCAGCAGGAACTGTTTTGTCAATCACCATACCTTTCTTCACAACTTTGGTGATGGTTGACTCGGCCTCTGTGCATGTATTCTCATAGTAATTTGAGCTCAGTGCCTTCACTGCAGTACTGGAAAACAATGAAAAAGCAAAGACTAATGGTCGTTTGGTTGGGAAATAAGTTATCTGGTAATTAATTATCCCGGGATTAGTTATCCTATTCTCGCATGGAGATAAAATAAACTACAATCCTGAAAAAACTAATCCCTGGATTAGTTATATCACGATTTTGTCCCAACCAAACGTGTGATAAACTCACTTCAAATTTAATCCCGAGATTAATTATCCATTATCCCTTGTACCAAACGAGCCCAAAGCAATAAGACATCTTGGTACTGCCATAATAATTACTTACGTTTGCCAAATTAAGCCTATCTTTCTTTATGCTTAATTTAGAGTACTTGATATTTTTGCTGTGAGACTAAGGAACTTTACAATGTGCATCTAAAGGGAAGACATTGTAATAGAGGCAGAAGACTACAATAAGAGTTGTTACTGGAATTTGATTATGTTTGTTAGCAAGTTTGGTCAGCTAGAACCATTAGACTGATATGGAATAGGAGTAATTTAACATTCTTAATTTGATTCTTCTTTGTGAAGCACGTTCATTTTCTTAAGTCTGAAGTGATCCTATATCTAATGGTCACTGATTTTGTTTGACATATATAAACTAAGAGTTATGCCAATGGTTATTCTTACATGGGAGTAAATCTGACGAATGGAAGTAAATCAACTGCTAGTCAAATCTAAAAGTAAATTAATATTATTTGGTGAAAATATCGACTGCTAGTCAAACTTAAAAATAAATTAGTATTATTTGGTGAAAACAACGAAGTGACTTGAGTATATCCACCATCTCACTCATGAGGCGGGGATTATAAACTCAGTTACATCTTTGTAAACTCTCTAAAATTAAACAACTTCTATATGTCGATCATTTGAAAAACTTAGTGTAGAGAAATCACATCACACAATCCTCAAAATTTACTTCCTCTCGTTTTTCCCTCTTTACCACAATCAAACATTAGTATAAGAAACTCCTCTTTCTTTTTCCTTAACCATTCCGTATCCGAAACCCTCTTGCCCCTACTAATCTGAATTCACGCCGAATAGGCCCACTAATGGGCTAAACCGCTCCCTACTTAAAAATAATAATTTGTACTTTCCTATACATTATTTGAAACCTTATTACCCTCACTACTCAAGTTTCAATTTAATTACATGGTCATATACAATTTATCAATTATATACAAATAAGTTTTAAATGAGTATCCTTTTATATTAGGAATTGAATAAGGAATATCAGTTATTTCCTTATCTCTTTATACTTGTCCACTCTCTCTGTCTCTGTCTTTGTCTCTCTCTCTCTTCGTCTCTCTACTCTCCTTCTATGTTTTTTCCCCATTTTTTCTTCATTTGTTGTTCTCTGTTTTTTTATGCTTTCTTGTTGTATAGAGTTTTAATGGAATTTATCAATGGATTTTAATCGTTTTAAGAAGAAGAAGAAGAAGATGATGCCGACATGACATACAATATACTTACGAAATTGTAGTAAAGTTGTATTATAATTGTATGTAAATTGTATTCTGTTGTAGTTGCATATATTTTTTATTTGAATGTTGTACGAAAGTTGAAAAATAGTTGTATAATGTATGAATCGTTGTGTAAAATTTGTATTTAAGTTATCAATACTATCTTTTTATATAAAGTTGTTGATATGTATCAAAATTGTATTAAGAGAGTAAGTTTTGATTGGAATTTTAGAGAGGAAGAAGTACACACTACATACAAAATATATACAAATCAGATACAAAATATACAAAAGACATATTGTATAAAATTTGTATAAAAAGTGTATTTAACTTGTATGATATTGTAGTTGTATTTAACTTGATAGAAATAATATATGAAATTTGTATAATATATAATTAGTTGTATGAAATTTGTTTTTACTATGTATAAATCAGATACAAAATATACAAAAGACATTGTATAAAATTTGTATAAAAATTGTATTTAAGTTGTATGATATTGTAGTTATATTTAACTGGGTAGAAATAATATATACTCTATAATTAGTTGTATACTATATAATTACTTGTATAAAATTTATTTTTAGTTTATATGTTGTCGAAGATGTATCAAATTTGTATCAAATTTGAATATTTCGGCATTGACACACAACTGTGTTCTTGTTAACTCCAACACAATTATATGGGCATTGAGTAATGTGATTGAGACAGTTTACATGTGGATGATTTTATATAATTTCTTGAAACAATGAATGTGGATGGAAATATAGACCGAAGGAACATTGATTAAAGGGATACAATATGATTTGCTAATAATTAACTGAGATTTTCCAACTTTTTTCTCTGTTAACACTTTAATATTAGAGCCGGTTTGGTAAAAGGTTCTTAACTAAAGAGGGGAGGAGAGAAAAAAAGAAAAAGATGTAACTAAATCCCTTAATTTAAAGCACTAATAATGGATTGTATATAAATTGTAAACAATCTTGGTTTAGGGCGGGTAATATACAAAATTAGGATAATTTTGGTAAATATGTTTCAAATATTGTATAGAAACGAAACATCCCCCACCCATTTCAAGGCCCAAACCCCATACCATTGTGAAGAGTGGAGGAATACTTTATGATCCCACCGGCCCCTACTGCGATCGGGGTATAAGAAACTCAATTTCCTATGTACAGAACCAATCAACTCCTAGAGATCTGGTTGTACAAACCACAAAAAAAAGAGAGTAAACGCAGCCACTATTTCTTTGCAATCATCCAAGTAATAAAACTTCCACAAATGAGGAATTTAAAGCAGCATACATAGAAAATACCCATGCAAGCTAATGGACTAAATAGTAGGCAATAGTTTACTACAAACGCTAACATAGCCAAGGATGACTTCCCACTTTCACTAGCAATCCTGTCACCAACAGAGGCCAAAGATAGACTTGTGATGTGAATTTTTCTTTCCCAGTTCCCTAGCCGAGAACTGAGAGGTAGGGCCGGACATCACCACAAGTACCACCTCCAGCACACTCTGTGACCCCACCAATATGTCACGAGAAGGCGGAGTAGTTCAACGGTTGCTGCTGGTCGATATCATCACAATTTGAGCCGTTGGAGATACCAGAACAAGTGGGTGTAGAATAGCTCTCCTGAAAGTTTTTTGATTGATGAACTTTGGGTTCCATTATCTGTCTGTTCAGCTGCAATGCATTAGATACTGGGGTACCCTGGACGTTGGTCACATCGGGGGATCCAGACTCCAGGAGCTTCTTCATATTGAGAAAGCGTCCACCAGGTCCTCTAGCCCTATTCAGTGCATGCCGATGGCGAGACTCATGGAGATATGGCTGAAAGTAATTTGTGAATAAGTAACCTAATTGAATCACGGCAACTAACACACATGCTGAAACACTAGGGACCCTTACCTTGCGTCCTTTTGAGAGTTTATTCTGAGCCTCCAGCTTTGCACGATACTCTCTCCGCCTGAGAATAGCCTGGTACTGTTTTGCATTGACAAATATCGGCTCATCTTGCTGATAGTCAAGAGGAAGTGGCACTCGAGCAGATATGGGGCCTAACATTTGTGGATAAACCTGAAGTAAACTGCTAGATAAGTATCTCACAACGAGTATGAAGAAGAAAAACAAACACTGGCTTTAAAAAGGACTTGTTATCAGATTTTGCAAATCATGGGCTGTTCCATACAAAAGAAATCCACTTAGGTATATCGATATAAGTACATTTAGTACTGAGGCCTGGAATCAAACTTAGTCCACTAATCACATATGACATTTGATATGTAAAATAGCATCAATAAGTGGCGGACCCAGGATTTTGTGCAAGCGGGTTCAATCTTAGAAGTACATAACTTTAGTCGTAAAATAGTTGTCAAGTGAGTTCAAATAAAATATTTATACAAAATTATGCAGCTTTAATAGTAATTTATACATATACACAATATTATTTTTTGACGAAGCGGGTTCAATTGAACCCGCTTTCCACCATGTGCGTCCGCCACTGGCATCAATTCTTTGAGTGCTGGTACCTACTTAGAAGTTTATAAGGTTCTTGAAATTTGAAAAGCAAATGCCACATGAAAGTTACAGCAGACTTACAGCTTGAACAGTGAATGATCCACAAGTTATTCTCCCATAATTAATAATCAAGGAGGTTTAAATCTTTCAATGCCTATGGACTATGGTCAGTGTCTATATGCACAAAAACCAGATAATTAAATCAAAAAGATTAACAGAGAAGTTATTCTTAGATGGAAATCTTAATTTGCAAATAAAATACTTACAATTATATTACTTAAAACATTTAGTGAGCAATTGCCTACTAAAGAAATACTATTAATTTTTTATAGAGCCATCTGTACTTAAAACTGGCAATGGCTCAAACAAACAATCTTCCAGAGGTTAAATAAAAATAATAAAAAAAGCAGTTTGATAAAGAACGTAAACTGCTAGAACGAAAAAGGTTCACCTTTTCTTTTAACAAAAACTAGAAATAAGTAATACTGCACGTCATCAGTACAAGTAGTATAGTTGAACATGAATGTACTTACCGAGGAGCATTGTCCATAAGAAGCAAGTAAACCATGACAGTAAGGATCAGAGTACGCAAAAGGTGCATAAGCCTAGAAATGACATTGTGAGATGTCATCACTTGATCAGAAATTACAGCATATGAAAAGAATTAAGAACAACTCACAATTTGTTTGTGGTTTCCTTGGTAAGTGCAATCATGCTCGTGACTCGACAGTGTTGATTCACTTTGAGCTTCATCAGGCTTTTCAATACTTTTAGAATAGCCTGAACATGATCAAAACAGATTTACCCTGGTATGAAGTATCTAAAAGTCCAAAGGGAAGTAGTGAAAGCAGAGGCAAAAACAAATTTGAGGCTAAAAGATATCCATACTCATGAAGAGCTTGTAAACCAAATATTCCCTTCATCCTATTTTTATAAGGAGTTAGACAGGATTTAAGATGTTAATTTAGATTAAGTATTATATAGAGGCAAAGAAGGGGTGTCATGGCGTAACTGGTAAAGTTGTTGCCATGTGACCAGGAGGTCACGGGTTCGAGCCGTGGAAACAGCCTCTTGTAGAAATGCGGGGTAAGACTGCGTACAATAGACCCTTGTGGTCCAGCCCTTCCCCGGACCCCGCGCATAACGAGAGCTTAGTGCACCGGGCTGCCTTTTTTTTTATAGTGGCAAAGAAAGAAAATAGTAAAATAAGTTTGATAGATAAAACATCACATCAAAGTTCTAATATTGAGTAGTTAAATGCTTGTGAAATTCTTTTGATTAGTAAATGCATGTGAATTCTTGAAAGTTGTAAAAGTTGCTTTAGATAATATTATTAGACGAATGGTGTCAAACACTTTGGGCTGTCCCAAAATGAATGACAGCCATATAAATTAGGATAGAGTAAGTAGGAAATTAAACCTGATCAGTTCTAAGATAGCATGGGATTACATGGCTAGATTGAATGTACTACATGCATGCGTAACTAAGCTGTTGAAGGGAGAAGGTTAATGACAAAAATTATTTCATTTCACAACTCTTTTGTTTCTCGGGTTCTTCAAATTTCTAGCAAATCCTTTACGACTAGGTGGCTACAATGGTCTAGCACCTGAAGCTTTAAGTTAAAGTTTTTTTCCAAGACCAACACAAGCAAAACAAAGTCCAGAGTATGAGTTCCATAGTTCCAATCTTCTTCAACAACTATCAAACCAAACACAACTCACCCATTTCATGGGTTCCAATGAAGTCCCCAACCAAAACATATAGTAACATATTAATAATAAAGCTGCATCCATGTTAAATGGATAAAGCAACTCCTATCAGTCCCGCCAATTTAGTGAAGAACTGAAGCAACTTTCTATTGGCTAGGGGGAATCTTTTTTTTTTTTAAAGAATAGGTCTTTCCTTTTTTTTTCCTTTTCCTTTTTCCATCATAAAACATCCGCAAGACTTCAAAACGGAAAGTAGACACTTGCCCTTATAAACCGGGTATTTGTATATTGAGCATAGCGGTTCTCTCTACCTTTACAAGGCGGGGATAAGGTCTGCATACACACTACCCTCCCCAGATCCCACTTGTGGAATAAAATTAGGTTTGTTGTTGTTGTTGTTGAGCATAGCTATCATCTTTCCACGATGAACGTAGTGTCCCAACAAAGAATTACAGCAATATTCGCCACATCCAATACCATGGAATGTGTTCCTCGTTATTCTATCGTATAATGGTGGTACAGTATATTATAACATTAAGCATTGATCATTGCCAAAATGTAGTTCATTTTGTCATTGTAGATAGTAGTGTCCATTCCTTTGTATCAATGAGATGATGGAAATACCACTATTTGGTGTAAAATGTTTTAACCTTATACAAGTTATTAAGATTCCAAATAATGGCTAGTACAAGACCAAAAGGACAGAGAGGTGGCACAAGTTATTCCTATAGACACGCATAAAGGACCAATTTCCAGCTTTCAGATGACTCAGTTTTAAAATTAAAAAAATATTGCAAAAAGGGTACTCAGCAACATTAGCATTCATCTTGCTATGCTCGGGTAGTTAAAGGGTATCTATTCCAAAGTTATAGGGCTCGCAAGAACTATGATTACCTGTCAACACATTTCTGAAATATGAGTTCTATGCTAACCATTCTAATTCCAAAAACAATTAATCAAGAGTTTCTTTGTACATGCCTTTATTAATTATGGATTTGTGCAATACCAGATGTTCAGAATCACTTTTGCAATCAATCCTTACCAGGCTAACAGAGGCATGCAATGCATTGGAATAAGGCTGGGGCCAATCCAATTTAATCTCAACCTACCAAACCATCAATTTCACATTTCATTCCCACATTCTTTCTCGCATTGAAAGTCTAAAGTAAGAAGAACCAAACTTTCTCTGATTACAACGAAGCATGCATTCACCACAAATTCAACCACAGTACAGTAAGTACCAGCAGAACACAGAAGATCACAGGCCATCTCCATTTGTCTTAGTTTAGGCCATAGCTTTAATATTTTTGCACACTGTATATATGCATCTTAAAACATGTCAAATAATTAAGTCGATACCATTACCTGCTTGAAAAGGCATGTTGCTTTTCCCATAGATTTTGCTTTCTCCTTCAGTAGCAACTTCAGGGCATGATTGACCCGTCGACTGAGTAGAAGAGGAATCCTGATCTTGAAAATGAAAACCGAACTGTTCGGGATTTTGAGGACCAGGAAAAGTCAACCATTGTTGCATTTGTGGTTCTTTGCTAGTCCACCAGCTAGGTCTAACACTGATCGATGGGCCTGTTGAGACGCTACTAAGATCAGAGCCTTTTTGAAGCAAGTCCTGCATTCTGCTAATCATCTGTGACCTCGTTCAGAAACTGAAAAAGTCCCGAGTATCCATACCTTACACATTAGAGTATGACCTAAGCAGAATAATTGAAAGGTGAACTTCTCTTACCTTTATTTCAGTTCCAGCATACAAATAAAGTTTTACTCTTAAGACTTGACAAACTAAGTAGAGTGTCTATTTATAATTTTGACCTCAATTTACCATGTTAACTTACATTAATGCTATATCAATAATCATATTCATCAAGGATAGTTTACTTGAAGGGCAGCTTTAGCATAACTGGTAAAGTTGTTGCCATGTGACCAGGAGGTCACGGGTTAGAGCCGTGGAACCAGCCTCTTGCGGCTGCGTACAATGAACCCTTGTGGTCCGACCCTTCTCCGAACCCCCTCATAGCAGGAGCTTCGTGCACGAGGCCGCCCTTTATCAAGGATACTTTACTTCCAGCAAGAAAAGTGCAAATCATTCAACTTGAGCGTGCATATTTGTCCTTCTAAATAGTGGGTTGCTCTAGTGGTGAGCACCCTCCACTTCCAACCAAGAGGTTGTGAGTTCGAGTGGCCCCAAGAGCAAGGTGGGGAGTTCTTGGAGGGAGGGAGCCGAGGGTCTATCGGAAACAGCCTCTCTACCCCAAGGTAGGGGTAAGGTCTGCGTACACACTACTCTCCCCAGACCCCACTAATGGGATTATACTGGGTTGTTGTTGTTGTTGTAAAGTCTCAACTTCGAATTATTTTTTTAGCAAAAAGTTAACAAAAATACTTACTATACAGCAGCCCTTCTAGTAAAATCTGAGGAGCAACCAACAAATGTATGATTTTGGTCTCGAGAAAGCATTATTTTGATAAAAGTACTTCAAAAAATAAGCAGTTTTTAGAAGCTTTAGCCAAACATACTCTAGAACAAGGGTAACAAATAAACATCAACGACATCTAAGCCTCAATCCAAACTAATTGGAGTTGGCTATACAAAACCTCAGTATCTATTTCACTCCATTTGGAACCCTTTAGAGTAACAAATCTAAGTATACAAAATTAAACATACAGTAATCTGAAAAAATCCCAAGATTTTGAAATACTAACATGCACCGAATTCAGACCCAAGAATCCACAACGAACCCCAAAATAATCAACTTTAACCAATAAAAAAATACTGAAAATAGAAAGGCTAGAATAATATTATAGCAGCAGCAGATAAAAGAACCTTCTAGAGAACCTTGTAAATGACTCAGGCACTTGTTCCCTTCTTCAAAACCCCATATTTCAGCTTCTTTCTATCAAGCTATCCTTCTTCTTCTTCTTTTTGTAACAATTTTATTTTTGCTGCCGAGTTATTCGGCTTCTTGGACGACGATTTTTTAGCTGGAAACAAAGAGACAGGAAAACACAGAGGTTTTTTCTTTTCTTTTTTCACTACGTGGAAATGAAGAAGACTTTGGTGTTGTTTTCATTTTATATATTTACAGTTGATGTTTTCTTTCATCAACTTTGTTTGTCGTGTTGTGTGGTGTATAAAGGACTATTGTTCATGAATTTCTTATTAAAATAATATCCAGATGATAATTTAGTAGGGTACGTTTGGATTGGCTTTTAAGTTTTTTTTTAAAAAAAATTTAGTGTTTGATAAAGTTAAAAAGTGTATAAAATAAATTAAAAACGGCTTAAAACAAGTCAAAAGTTTAACTTATTATTTTTTATTTTAAAAATTATTTTTACTGAAAAGTCACTTTTTTAAGCCAATCCAAACGGGCTTACAATTAAGTTTGATTTATGAGATAAGGTGAGATATTCCAGAATTAAATTTATATTTTATTTTATTGAAGGTATTAACTATTTTCAGGATTAATTTATACTTCAAATTTGGTATTATTTATCCCACCTAGGAGGTAAAATTATTAATATTGAGATAAGTTATCTTGGGATAAAAGTAAAATTTGACCATATTAGCCCCTCAGCCATGTTCGTTGTAATTCTATAGTATACAACAACAATAAACTCAGTGAAATTTTACAAGTGAAATTTTAGGAGAATAGAATGTACGCAATATTGACATTATTCTGAAAGGCAAAGAAATTATTTTCAATAGACGCTCGGCTTAAAAAAAGGGGAAGAAACGGTGACAACAAGTCATTTGTAATTTTATATGTTTGGACTATAAAATGCATTAGTGCTTTCTGTCACTGCTGGAGCGAAATACTTAAAATCTAAAGACGGTTAAACATTATGCAATAACAAATTGAATTAGTTATTAGAAATTTTATTAAAAAAAGAAATGATTCAAATGTATCTAATTTACTAAAATAACCAAGGTTAAAATTGAAAACAAAAGATTTATCCAAGTTTATCTAGTTTTTATATAAATGAACGATTCACTTTTTATTTATTTAATTATTTCGAAATTTATTTTGGATTAACTATTGATGTGATGATTTAATTGTTGTCTTGCCTAACAACGGCGTTAGGCGTCATCACAACCTATAGTGAGATTTGGGTCTTGACAACCACAAATTCAAATATATAATTTATTCCCAATTTAACGTCCAATCTCTTGGTCAAAACTCAAAATACCATTTCTAGGTTTTCTTCCAAAATCCTACAATTTCTACCAATTTTCATATTAAAATCTATATATAATCCATGTATTTAACTCATAACAAGTGGGAATCACTTACCTCATGATTAGATGATGAAAATGGCTCTTCCAAATCGCCCCAAAATCGCCTTAGCATAAGAGAAATGAGCAAAATTCCCGATTTGCAACTTATATTCTGCCCATGTCCTTCCTCTTCGCGATCGCGAAGGCCAACCAACCATGCCCAGGAAATCCTTCTAAGCGAACGCGAGGTACCACTTGCTATCGCGACCTTCTACCTTACCAACCTACGCGATCGCAAGCCAAGCTCCGCGAACGCGAAGGCCAAACCTTCCAACCTCAGACAAATACCTTCCGCGATCGTGAACTCCCTCACGTGATCATGATGAGCAACCCTCCAAGCCCGGCTACCATGTTAATGCATCGCAAAGAATAAATTCTTCCCCAGCTCTAACAACCCTTCGCGATCGCAAAGCACACTTTTGACACCAGAAACCAACAACAGCAAAGTAAAGGGAATTGGTCCGAAACACAGTCGAGGCCCCCGGATCCCGTTCAATCATACCTTATCCAATTTACCCAAGGGATCGAAACGCCACAAATTACATCAAAATCACGAATTGACGATCAAAATCCTTGTTTTAACTTTCAAACCTTCAAACTTCGTCGAACGCGTCTGAATCACACTTAGACATTCCATATCACAGCCAAACCACACACACAAGTTCCAATCAAAAAAATGAACCTATTCAAGGTCCCGAAAACACCGCCTAGAGTCTGATAACATCAAAGTACACTCCAAGTCAAACTTAGCAAATTCAAAAACTTTAAAAAATGCAAACTTTCGATAATAAGCTTCGAAATACTCTTGGACCACCCGATACTCACTCTGAGCATACGCCCACGTCTAAAATTACCTTACGAACCTATAGAAACTTTCAAATCCTGATTCTGAGGTCGTTTACTCAAAAGCCAAACATTTATCATCTCTTCCAACTTAAAACTTCCGAATTGAGAATTATTCTTCCAAATCAACTCTGAACTTCTAAAAAATGAAAACCAACTATGCGTGCAAGTCATAATACATAAAGTAAAGCTACTTAAGGTCTCAAACTGCTGAACGACATGATAGAGCTAAAAACGATCGGTCATGTCGTTACAACTTTTTATTATTTCCTTTCTTTAAAATGACTTAGAAATTATGATTTCTTGTATACTTGTTTAAAAAAATTTATTGCATTCGTTGTGCATATCCATCATAAACATGTCCTTAATGCAATGTGACTTCTGTTCTATAGGAAATAAAATATGGCATCCTCTTCGAATAGAGCTATTAATGAAAGTCAAGCTTATTATAATACTCCAACTCACCTTCAGGAAGGAGATGAGGAACCTTTGCCTAACTCAAATCATCCTCATGCTAGTGAATCTGAATTGGGCAATAACCCTAGAGCAATGTGTCATAGTTCTCCTATTATGACTCATCCAATTTAGTAGATGGCTAAGTTCTTTTTTTACTTGGATGGGACGATGTCTGACCCTGATGAAATAAATTATGACTCCTCCAATTCAGTAGATGGTTAATTCTTTTGTCACTTGACTGGGATGATATTTTTATGAATGAATTTTGAGAAGATGAGGAAATGGGAGGAGTTGAATAGGAAATCACTATTGATCCCATGGAAGATGAACCATGGCTTGGGCCGTTGGGCACATGAAAAGAGTCTTTGAACAACTAGAGGGTACAAATGTTCCCAAATTTAAGTATGATGTCTCTCTTTTACAAAAAGATGAATATGAAAAATACAAAAGTAAAACCCCTAGTGCTTACTTGAAATGACTTTGTGAAAGCATTTCGTACGAAATATGTCCCCAATGTCTATTGTGTTGTAAAGAAAAGGAGTTTTTGAATTTAAAGCAAGAAAGTATGTGTATCAAAAAATGTTTTTCATGATTTCTCGTTATGTTTGAGGTATTATTACTAATGAAAGAGACAAGTGTAGAAGATTGAAGAAGGTTTGAATGGTTCATTTGAAAATCTATGGCAATCTTGCAAACTTGAGGTTTTCTCAAGCTAGTTTCAGTTGCTCTCCTATAGGGTTGGGCATAATACCGACCGAACCGAGTAAACCATTTGAACCGAAAATTTCGGTTTATTCGGTCTCGATTTTTTGGATTATTCGGTCAGTTAACCCTTTATATATTTAAATAATTCGATGTTCGGTTCGGTTATCGATTTTAAGGGTTCGGTTTTTGGTTAAACTGAAAAAATGAAGTTTACTGATAGTGAGTAACTTTTAGTGATGTACAGTCCAAGACTCGGGGCAAATTAGATAGTTTTAACTACCATAGGAAGTGTTGTCAGTTGCAACAAAGCAAAAGACACAAGAGCTTGACGAGTAATTTAACTAATAATGCATTTATGACAAAATCTCATTCAACAGTATTACAATATTATATCAAAACTAAGTTTTAAAGGAGAGACACAGTTTGCACAATCTTCGATACCAGAAGTATTACATATTAATGCAAATAATGTAATACCTCACGGTGTATTATTAATTAACCTATCATTGTTTGGTTACAAATTTTGCCATGGCTTGAAAACCGAACAGATTAAAACCGAAACGAACATGAATAAACCGAATTGAACCGAAATTATTACAGTTCAGTTTTGGTTATTAAAATCATAAACCGAAAACCGAATAAACCGAACCGAACTTCTGTAAAACCGAATCGAACCGACCGACGCCTACCCCTACTCTCCTAGGAAGGAATTGACAAGGAAGAGGCTAGTAAAGAGAAAATAATTTTAGAATGGCTAATTCAGATTATAGTAGTTCATCTAAGAAGGGAAAGTTTGACTATTTCAAGACTGAAAGTGTTTAAAAATCATCACATTATAAGAAAAATATATCAAGTTTCTCTACGGCTAGTACTCCTAATTATGGTTAAGGCAGGACTCATATACCCACTTATGCATAATGTGTGGAAGAATTACTATAGTACTTGCAGAAGAGCTTCTGGTGCTTGTTTAAATTATGAAAGCCTGGATCATAAAACGAATTGTTGTTCTAATCCTAATTCTCTTTCTTCTACACACATGGAGGGATCAGCTCAAAAGCCTGTCACTAATCATTCTCAAGCAAATGGAGGTGCAAGATCTAGAAACATATAAGCAACAAGTTCAAGTTGAACTAATCAGGCTAGTGGGTCAAGAGCTATTGCATGAGTCTATTCTATAAGACAAAGAGATGATCAAGATGGTCGGTACGTGATTGTTGGTAAATTTCACATATTTGGCATATCTATTGTTACATTATTTGATCCTGGATCTGTAGACTAATAAGTGTAGATTTTGACCACATATTAGCACCTCTTTGCCTTTTGTTTTAGTCAGAAAGTATTGATTTATGTTCTCAAAACTAATGAAAGTGTAAAAACTGCAGGAATGTTGGAAGTTTGGGCTCCCATAATGAAATCCGACTCAAAAAGGAGTGTTCCGACTCACAAGGCAAGAAGGGGAGCAGAACTTAAGAAGTGCAGTCCGCGGAAGGATTTCTACGACCGTAGAAGAAAGTGCATATCACAAAATTCCCTTTGCGGCTGCAGAACAAGTGAAGAAGCCCAGCATAGTTTTAGCTAATATGTGGACCGTACATGATTTGTGTGGCCGCAGAATAAGGTCTGCACTGACAAATGATTCAAAGTTCAGAGAGTGTGCAAATGACCAAGACATGAAGCCTTGCCTGAAGTGCGAACCGCATAAGAATTGTGCGGCTGCAGAAGATATTTTGCAGTCGTAGACCAAAACTGTGCGGCTGCAGAATCTAATTC